TGGGCTTTCTGGGGTTACCTCCTCTCCTTCAGGTGCAGGGCAACCCCAACACATTGGAACAATAAATTCCTCTTGCTTTTTGCATCAATTCCTGGCTCAGTATGGTGAGACAGAGAAAGAGAGACAGACAGACAGACAGACAGACAGACAGAGACAGAGAGACAGAGACAGAGAGACAGAGACACAGAGAGAGATAAGGAGGAAGAAGAAGAAAGGAAAAAAGAGGGAAAGGGGAAGGAAAAGAGAAAGAAAAGGAGAAGAGAGGAGAAGAAAGGGGAAGAGGAGGAAGGAGGAGGAAAAGGAGTGTCGAGAGCAGGCTATTCTTATCTGTTACGAGCAGACTGTGGATAAGGGGTTAGAATCCCCCGAGGGGAGAGGAGCAACGGGTCCTGCTCCACTCAGGGATCATATACTGGATTTGACTGTGAGATCATCAGCTCCTTGAGAGGGAAGAGAGAGTACGCCAAGAGACAGAGGGTTGCGGTTCATTTACTTTTTAATGATAATGCATAGCAAGCAAATACAAACACAAATGCTAAGACTATTGCTACAACAAGATATTGCCACATTTCCTATGCATTGCCTCTAACAATATGTACAATAAACACAAATAATAATTTGCTAATTACCAAAGAAATAAGCATAGCAATAAACACATCATTCATTCATGGATTATACGACCTGAGTCCTTTTGATGGTTTTGGGTTATAGGTCCGGAGCCTGGGAAGGTGGGGTCAGGCTGTGGCTTCCAGATAATTTGACCTCGCAGGGTGCTTGACCAAAAAGAAGCTGGAGGCATTGGCCTCTCAGTTAACTCTTTGATGACCGGGTGCTGAGTAGGCTTTGTCCTGAGGATCACATTGGCCAGTCATGGCTACAAGTGTGATGAAATGCTCTAGATGGGCTCCTCTTTTATGTTGGATTTGGCGTTACTGGTGACATGTTTGGCAGATAACCACTCGTGTCTGGTTATCCCCGGGCTCTGACCATTTCCAGACTTGTCTTTACAAGTACCAGACATGTCTTTACAAGTACCAGAAGAGTCTCTACAATTTTCCTGTTACAAAACGGAGTTGGTCCTGTTTAAGGGCCTGCTCCTTACAAGGAGGAAGAGGAGGAGAAAACAGCTGGAAAGAAGGGTCAGTGATTAAGAGCACTTGCTGCTCCCACAGAGACCCAGAATTCTGTTCCCAGCAACATCTGGCAACTTACAACCACCTATTATTGCACCTCCAGGTGATCTGCCACCCTCTTCTGGCCTTTATGAGTTCCTGCATGTACATGCACACACTCCCAAACTGACACACACAAACATGTACAGGTACATCAAGAAATAATAATAGATCTGTATAAAAAATTTAAGCAGGAAATAGTTGACTCCTATCTGGCCCAATAAGAAATGGAGAAAAAATTGAGACTAAGTGCAATAAAACTAACCATGACCTGGTATGACATATAGTTAGCTTATAAACTCAGGCCCTGCCCAGTCTCAAACATTAACTAGTGAGGACTTTCCTCATTTAAATACAGGATTTGCACAAAGAGAATTGAACTGTCAGAACCCTCCTAGTCCATAGCTTCAGGTAGGCATCTCGTTTTCCTGCTCTATCCCTAGCCTTGGGAAGTGTCCTGAATAAGCTTCTTTTTTCTACTCTGGTCTCACAAATGAACACCTAAGTGTTGCCCACCCCTCCCCTGTCTCAAACCATATAACCTAGCATAAGATTTTAGCATTAACCATTTATTCCCAACTGAAATCACTTGAACTCATTCTGAATTGTTAAAAGAGTAAACCTACATTTTAAAACAAAGCATTAGCCTCATTAACACAGACTTAGTAAGGCGGACAACTACTTTCAAAATCATATATTAAATTTACAAATAAATAAATTTGCCTGCAGGTCGTGACCAATATCAAAGAAAAGTTTAACTGCATGCTTTAACAAATGATAAAACAGAATATGCCCCGGTTGTTAAATAGTACTAAAGTGATTCTCAGGACAGTGGCACCTCATTAGCATATACAAAGTGATGATGTCATGTCCTTTACCATATGGGAAGAGAGGTCTGACAAATTTCAGAAATTTGCCGCATTTCATAATGCTCAGGGGATTTTTCAAGTTCAGAGGTGCCAAGTGTTTTGGGGATTTTTAGTGATTACAATTTCTTTGACAAGTGTATCCATTTTATACATACATTGTAACACATCTGCCCCCATCCACCTCCCTGTTGTACCTCCATCCACTGTTGCCAACTCCTGCTGCTGACTATAGGTCTCTTTCCTTGTTTGTGACTTTTTGTTTTGTTGTGTGACCCACTGAGTTTAACCAGAGCCATCTGTGTGACCAGTAAGTCTGGAGCTACCCGATGGAGTCTGGTGACTGTACCACTGGATCCATATCTAAAAAGATTCCTCCTCCCTTAAAATCCTCAGTAGCCCATGGTTTAGCAGAAAGGGATAGGTCACCACGAGTCCCTGTCTGATTTATATCCATTTTATACATACATTGTAACATGTATGTAGAATGTATCCATTTTACACATACATTGGCTTTAGCAGGTCCAGTCTTCTGCAGGTCCACTGCGGGCAGCTGTGAGTTTATAACTGCCAGAGGACAGCATTTTAACGTTCTTCTCCCTGTCTTCCAGGTCACACATTCTTTCTCTTCCTTTGACCATGGACTCACTCATTTTTAATTTATTTATTTATTATTTATTTATTTATCTATCTTTGCTTAATTTTCAGCTGTCAATTTGCAAATAGAGGAAACTGAAGCTATTTGATTCCTTATTGAGGACTGATTATATCTTTCAACTTTTCCTACATTAGTCAATAAGAGCTTTCTCACAAACCCGTCAGACCAAATGAAGTGATCACATATAAAACACCTGGAATTATTCGCATTTTGTTTCCATTATGACCACTTAAATCCAACGTGTATCCCCCCCTGCCTCCACCCCCACCTCTGCCAGTTAATGGAAAGTTTATCCAGGATGGATTTTTCTGTTATTTTGTTTTTTGTTTCATCTCAAAGGATTTGTGTCCACAGGAAATAGTTCCTAGACAAGACAAAGATGACGGAAAAGGATCCACAAGACCTTGGACAGCTACAGGCCAGCCTGGGTGCAGTGCAGAAATCCACTGAGACACTGAGTGGAAAAATTATTAAAAGCAGAGCAAAGGATTCAGGCCAAGAGCAGGCAGGTTCCAGAATTGGACATTGTGCTGAACTAAGAACTATGTGTTCTTAGCTGTGGGTAGCTGTGTATTACTCACACACACCTGATTTTTGGGTCATGGTAACAAAGGTTTAGTCTGCAGTCATCGAGTCCACCGTTCTCAGACCCATTTGAATCAGCTGTTTCAGCAAAGCTCCTCTGCTCACAAGGGCACAGGAAAAAGAAAGTGGAAGACACAAAGATCGTACAATCCCCTCCAATAGCATGAGCCCAGTAATCTGTAGACTTTCCATAGGACCTGGCAAAATTTCCACCACCTCCTAGTAGCCCAAGCAGGAAAGCCAAGACTAATGCATGTGGGCCTTTGGGGAACATTCCATATCCAAGATATAGCATGAACTCTGAAAGACAGTTCTTAAATACAAGAAAAACTCGTAAATTGGGTATATTTTATGCATGCAACCCAAAGAATGGAGGCATAAACAGTGACCTTGCAAGCCTCTGGCATCATGGGACTGTTGATCAGTGTTTAGTTTCCATCTGACAGTGATTCCTCATGAACTCAGCTACTGTTGGAAAATGACTCTTGGGATCAGAAAGTAAATGAGAACAAAGAAACATAATCCTTCTCCTGCCTCCTAGAAAACACTGACAGCCAGTGCTCACAGCAGACAGAGTGCAGACCCAGACAACCCTCTGGGACTGCCATCTGCCTGTACGTAACTAGCATTAGGCATTTACTTGCATGTGTGAGAAGAAAGACCCATTTCCACAAGTAAACTATTGATAAAGGTATAAAATTCGAGGGAGCTTGAAAAAATTGAAGATCGTCTCCAAGGACTGGCAACAACTTTGAAACAAAACAGAAATGCTTCTTCAGTGGGGGAAAAAACCCAAAAGATTATGCAGCCATTAGAACACCCAAGAAGCCTACCCTTTATGAAACCAGAAGGTCTAATTCCTTAACTAAACTTGGCTAAGAGATTTACAACTTGTTTTGTGAGCCCAAATAAATTAACATTAATATATAAACTCTCTAAAAATACCCAACATACTATGCTAGTTTTTTCCTTGACTAGATCTAATTCTCTGATGTGAATTCAACACCTTGAAAAACAATTTAACCAGTTATTGTTATAGATAGATACTTAAATCATTCCAATCAAGATGTATCAAAATCAGATCAACAAATCCGGAAGCTGTGGAAAGACTTGACTTTCTATGTATGATATTTAATTGTTTTTCTATTCTGTAGACCTATTTATATGGATGCATGCATTGATGAGTGGATGGATGGAGGGATGGATGGATGGATGGATGGATGGATGGATGGGTAGATGAGTGAGTGGGTAGATGGTGAGTGGGTGGTGGATGGATGAGTGGATGGGTGGATGGTGGGTGGATGGTGGGTGAATGGATGGATGAATGGATGGATGGATGGATGGATGGATGGATGGATGGATGGACAAGTGGGTAGGTGGGTGGATGGATGGAAGGGTGGGTGGGTGGGTAGATACGTGGGTGGGTGGCTGGCTGGGTGGATATGCTGATGGATGGAGAGAAAATGACAAGTAGATAAGTAAGAAAAGCAGATTAGAGAAAAAGAAGAGACAAAGATGTCTGGGTAGGGCACACAAGAGCCAGCTTTGTCTCTAAAGCCTTATCTGGTTCTCAGCTTTTCTTTAGTTCCTACATATATACTTAATGTATGCATGATTGATTCTCTTTCCTTCTAATTGCTTTTGACCTAAACTCTCAGGTAGCTGGACAAGACTCTTATAAATTCTGACTATAAAGGTACCAATACAAAACTGCATGCACCTGCCCCTAGTGGTGTTCCAGGTGTGGCTGCTGTGTCACATGCGTGTCAGTAGGTGGCAGAGAGGAAAGAGATGAGGTCTAAGTGTTCTAACCCGTAAACATCTGAATGATTAGTAGCCTAACACTCCCTGAAAACAGCAAGCCTCAGACAACAACCAGTCCAGAGCCAGGAGTCCCAGACAGGGAACTCGCCTGAGATGACCACCAGGATGGTGCTACACAGGCTTGGATGGGCTCCTAGGGCAGGGAGCCAGATGGAGACTAGAATTCCACCTGAGACTGAAGGTCCTGGGCAGGAGTGAGCCTGAGACAGATGACCTTCACAAAGGGCCACTCAAGCAGGTGATGACCAAACCTGAGAAGACCACCAGACTGGCATTTTGGGACCTGGACAGAGAGCTACCCTGAGAGGACCAGCAGTCCTGCATTCTACTGGTCTGTGGCAGGGGGCAGGGCAGAACATGCCTAAAATAACCCCTGTCAAGTGCCATAATGCACACGTGGGCAGATGGGAGACCTGGCCTGGGATCCTGAGAGCAGGAGAGCTGCCCCTGCCCCTCACCAGTAGCAGAACTCAGAGGATCAGTCCCTGCACCTTACCTGGGCAGCACAATATCTGGGCATAGCACTCCTGAAAGAACTCTAGACAATCAGAGACCTCAGATATCATTAAGAAAAACAAGTAAGTGGTGGAAAGATGGATGTGAAAGAGAAACATAAGGATGTGGGCACAGTGAAGAGAGGCAGAGCTGGAGACTCAAGGGGCAGGGTCGATGAGGAACATCGTGCTGTGAATAGCTGGTGATGCCACCTGGGATCATGGTGGGTCCCGGCCTGTGCTGTCACTGTGCTGTCACTATATCTAGGTTGCTAGACCTGCAGCAACAGGGATCTGTAACCACCAAAAGCCAAGTGGATGTCCTTGTTCTGAGCTGCTGCCCTAGGACATGGAGGAAAGTGACATACCCTCCTCCTCCCTTCCCCCTTTGCCAACTGGGGCAGGTGGGAGACCTGGCCTTGGCGTCATGAGTGCAGGAGAGCTCTCCCTACCTCTCACCAGTAGAAACACTCAGGGGATCAGGCCCTGCACCTTACCTGGGCAGCATAACAAAACTGACCCTAGTGGCAGGTTGAGCAAGGTAAGCAGGTCTCAAGGGCATGAGTATGGGGCCCTGCCACTTGTCTCTTGTGTGGTAACATAGACAAGGAAGAGATGACCCCTCCGTGTCATCCCTTGTCACCTATGACAGGTAGGAAAGCTGGCCCTGAGGTCATCAGAGCAGGAGAGCTGGCACTGCTCCTCACCCACTGCAGCACTCTGAAGAATGGGCTCTGCACCTGTGCAGCATATTAGAGCTCGCCCTGGATATGAAGATTGCTCATGAGCTGCCCCGAGCGTGTTCAAGCAGGAGAGCTAACGGGGTGGTCAGCTCAGATTCCTCTCAGGCCCAGGTCCAGGGCTTTGAATCAGCCCAACCCAATATCTGCCCCATCAATTAACTGCTGGAGTGCATGAACAAGCTGGTTCTACAGATCCTAAACTACAGTATCTCCATGACACAGGGCAACAACAGGATCTCCAAGAAGAGTCCCAGTGAGGATCCAGTATTGATAGTGCAGCAGAAGCCAGAGGACTTGTACCAGATCTTCAAGTCATTGCGATGAACATTTGCAAGCAAAGAAGTGTGGACAAAATGGTTTGCCGTGGGGAACAATGTAACACACTACAACTTCCACAACAAGATTTCTTTTCTCTGTTTGGGGAGAGTTGCAAGGGTGGAGAGCAGGTACGAGGGTAGGGGGAGATAAGTGAGATTGGAGTACATGATGTGAAATTCATTAAGAGCCAATGAAAAGTTTTAAAAAATCCTGCATGCAGGTAATAAATATTTATTTTAATGAAGGCTTGATGGAAGAATAGAACTCTTTCATACTAATGAAGCCAGAGAGAGATAATTTGGCACCAGATTTTGACACCAAGGTCAGGAAGGCAGTGGTTACTTTTACTACTGAGAGGCAGGGTTGCAGGTGAAATAAATAGAGAATAAAGAAAGACAGAAATTTGAACTCTTCAGCCAGAATACAGACCAGGATTCCCCTCCACAGTGCTCTCAGCAATGCCTCTTGAAGTGAAACCTTATAAAACAAGAAATTCTGTCAACCTAAGTAATAAGAGATACACTTTAAGTGTTCCCAGACTTAAACACCTTGGAAAGCTGAGGTCACATTTCTTACAAAGGATCCTCATCTTAAACAACTCTAACACATCATCGTAGTCTCAGTAGTGAGTAAAGATCTTTGAAGAAGTCTCCACTGAACAGCTAAGTTCTGCCATGCATGGTTTGCCTGAACTTTTTTTTATACACTTGCACCAATTTCATCAAAATCGCAGAGTTTTTACGTGGTGGTTCATCACAATAAACTCTGAAAGCAATACAGGTCTGTGTGTGAGCCCAAGCTTACAAAAAGTTGCATTATGGGTGAAAAGAAGCCCTCTGTTCTTAGATGAGTTGCCTTTGGAGTACAAGGTCTTTCACTCCCAGAAGGAGACTTTGTCTATCCCTGATGCTTCACAGTGACTTCATTAACATCGAAGGTCAGCTCTACCTGGTATCACATCCCAAGACTGTGAGTGCTCCATGCCTGTAAGCTATTGATATCCTTGTACATCTGAGAGGTGGGGTAATGTCTTGAAATTCATTTGAGACTGTTGTTGAAATTATGTCCATGCTGAGAAAGGAGGAAGGGGGACCTGCTACTAATCAAAGCCTGAGATAGAAAGCCACACCTGGACAGTGAATCCTAAAGTGATGAGGGTCTTAGCTAAGTGGGACAGGCTCTGGCCAGAACGGTTACCTTTGCCTAAAATTTCTGTTTCAGGCTTCCACTTAACATCCCTGCTGTCCATCTTCACTCAACCTGAAGGATTCTCTAGAGCCCCGGTGTCTCTCCAATATGTCCCTCAGTGCACACAGCTCGCATATGATAAAACCTTACATTTTAATTTATGTTTGTCTCATTATTTTTTCCTTTCCTTAAACAAAACAGAGATCTCGAAAATAATAATTTTACCCCAAATAACGTATCTATATCAATCAATAATGTTTTAAAGCAGAGATGCCATAAGTGTTATTTCTCCCAGGATATTCATGTTCTATATTCAACAGCCTTTGACTAGTGGCTCTTTCAAAGGGGAAACTTTTTCAAGCAGCCATGTGACAGTGTAATGGTTGTTCCTTGACCTCACCAGTGAACTCAATCAACTTCCCGGAGTTTCCTGATAATTGCTGTGGCTGTATGTGTGTAAGAGTGTGTGTGTGTGTGTGTGTGTGTGTGTGTGTGTGTGCATATTAATAAAGAGTAAAAGAGTAATTGGATCAGAAAATGATCAGAAGATATATTCTTTATGAATGTATTATGAATGTATGCATTTCACTGAGATTACAGTTGAAAGATTTTAGAAATGTAGAATCAAATCAGGGTTTCCACTTCAGCCTGGTAGGAAGAGCATCTACATGTTAACAATGTGTTATGGTGATACTATGGTGGTACATGTGTGTTAAAATCTGACACACTGCATTCCACTGTGTATGACAGGACTCAGAACTTGGGGATACCTTTTATTTCCTGAGGAGGTCACTCCACCATTGCTTCTGTAGTGCTTGCACTATTCTCCTTGGCTAGTGCTAATTTCAATAACCCAAATGCTCTTCTTCCTCACCACCACCCAGAATGTCCCAGGACCTAGTGATTGCAACCTCAGTGAAGCGGATGTCTCTTGTAATGTTCAGAAAGGCTTTCCAAAGCTCCCTGGCTCCCTGTATTGTCTACAAACCTCACGTTCAGAAAAGAAGAAAAATAAAAATGTTTGATCTTAAACAATCCCTGAAGGCTGTTTGTTTGCTAGCCTCTGGCACTATTGGCAGGTGGCGGTGCCTTATGGAAATGAATGGACTGGGAAGAAGTTAGGCATTGAAGGTGTGCTCTTAGAGTGGACACTGGGACTCAGCCCTTCTCTTTGCTTTCTGTTTGCTGCCTGCTTGACTGCCTGTAGCTACCTCCACCACACACTCTTGCAATGATACTCGACTACACCAAGGGAGTGACAGCAACAGAATCAGCTGACAGCAGACTGAAGCTTCAGAAAATATAAGCCAAATAAACTCTTCTTTGTACGTTGTTTCTCTTGGACAATTTGTCAGAGCAACATAAAGCTAAGACAATGGTGCATAGTTCAAACTACCAAGCATTTCTGGGTACATCCATGCAGAGGAAAAGGTAGACCTGAAACAAGTTGGCTATTCAGTCAGTGTTAAACAACTCCCCCATACTTGATCAAATTCCAGGTACTACGTGCTGATATTATCTCTGACATAAGAACAACACAACGAGTTATTTCCCAACAAGTTCAAGATATCATTTGGGGTGACTGGGTTTTAAAAGGAGTCTGTGTTTCCTATGTTAGCAATGCCCTGGGTCTCTTTGAAAAATAAATTTAGATGGTAGCTCTTTAGGAGTTAATGACATTTTCTTGGATAGATTTTCTTTTGCTGTGATAAAGCATTATGAGCAAACCCAAGATGGGGAGGAAAGGGTTCATTTGGCTTACAATTCATACTGTAGTCCGACATTGAGGGAAATCAGCACAGGAACTCAAACACGGCAAGAACCTGGAGGCAGGGACCATAGAGAGATGCTGCTTATTCTCTTGCTCCTCATGGCTTGCTCAGCCTGCCTTCTTATAGAGCCCAGTGGTGGCCCTGCCCACAGTGGACTGGGCCCTTCCTCATCAGTCACTAATTAAGAAAATGCCCTACAGGCTTTTCCTGAGCCTAATCTTATGGAGACATTTGCTCCACTGAGGTTCCCTCTTCTCAGATGGCCCTGTATCTCCTCCCCATTGTTACTTTACCCATACGAATTCCCTCTCCAACTGACCATGTCCTCACCTCCATCATTTAATAGGAAAGTTGTTTTAGAAAATGGCCATTTGAACCCATCCTTCATGAACGCCTTTGCCCTCAGACTCAGGGAAGCCCCATCATGCTGACTGCCAGGTTTTCAGTCTTGTTCATTATTTCTTAGTCCACAGAATTAGCTTATTTTGGGAAGTGAGAAAATCCCTG